AATCACTTGCTGAGGCAATAAGAAGTTCGTGTGTACTGTACCAGGACTTGAACTCAGGGCCTCTGGCTCTTGCTTGGCTTATTTCACTTCAGGCTAGCACTCTACTATGTTTTCACTTCTAGCTCTTTTGCTGGTTAATGGCAGTTAACAGTCTCTCAGCTTTATCGGCTGGGGTTGGCTTCAAGCTGAGATAGATCATCGGATCTCAGCTTCCTGATTAGCTGAGATTTTAGGCGCCTAACTTCAAATATGCAGTTCTTGTGAGCAGAGACCACGTCGCATTTGCGTTTGCTCCTTTACAGGTCTGGCAGCTACCCAGTAAAGAGATGGATGTTTAGGAAATATTGATGGAAATGTAGCTCACTTTTCACTTGTAAGTTATCTCAGTCATCCTTAACCTAGCACCTTACTTCTGTGTAACTATTTTGGTTATAAATTGTGGGCTATCTTGGTTGATTGGAGTGTTGACTAGTGTCTGACTTCACAGGTGTGTTAGAGAGCTATGGTGACAAAGTCCTCGGCTGGGAGACTCAAAACAGCAGACACAGCCAGGTGCTGGTGGCTCACGCCTGTAATCCTAGCTACTCAGGAGGCTGAGATCTGAGGATCAAGGTTCAAAGCTAGCCCAGGTAGGAAAGCCCATGAGACTCTTATCTCCAATGAACCACCAGAACACCGGAAATGGAGCTGTGGCTCACAGTGGTAGATCACTTAGCCTTGAGCAAAGAGCTCAGGGATAGCACCCAAGCCCCGAGTTTAAGCCCCACAACAGTAGACATTTGTTGTCTTCAATGGAGTCAGAGAGGAAGGCATGGTCAGGGCTGGATTCTTCGATAGGCTTCTTGCTGTCCTGCTGGGTCCTTACACAGTCCCTCCCAGCATGTGTTGGTGTCCAAATCTCCTCCTCCTCTTCTTCTTCTTTTTTTTTTAAATAAGTTTTTTTATTGTGAAAATACTGTACAGAGGGGTTACAATTACCTGAGCAAGGAAATGAGTACATTTCTGATCCAGCATTGCTGTCTCCTCCTTTGCTTTTCCCCTCCTCCCTTCCCTCCCCACCTCTACAACTACACTTCCCCCTCTCCTCCTCTTCTGAGAACACTGATCAGATTGGAGAGGGGCCTATCCTAATGACCTCATTTTAACACCGCTATCTGTACAGTCTGTCTCCAGGGACTGGGGGCGTGGCCTTGTGGTAGCACACGGCCCTGGCCAGCTCCAAGCTCTGGTTCCACCCTGCTATCACATTCCCGGCCACTGGGGCTTAGGGGTGGATGTCACCACAAGCCCTTGGGGAGGTGACGCTGCTCAGCCATAGCAGTCGAGGAAACTGGACTGTGGATGCTGTTCTGTGGTCTGGGATTGGAGGCCGCTGGGAGGGCTGGGGACAAGTTTATGAGTGAATGAACGGCTTTCATTTCCCAAAGTGCTTTAAAAAAATGTAAAAAAGAAGAATTGTGCCAGTACTGGGCCTTGAACTCAGGGCCTTACATTCTCTGGTAGTTTTTTTCTTTTTTCTTTGCTCAAAGGCTAGTACTCTACCACTTGAACCATACCTCCACTTCTGGCCTTTTTCTTAAAAAAAAAACTGATTCATTGGAGATAAGAGTCTCTTGGATTTATCTGCCTGGGTTGGCTTTGAACTCTGATCCTCAGGTATCAGCCTCCTGAGTAGCTAGGATGACAGGCGTGAGTCCCTGGTGCCCCGCAAAGTGGCCTTCACTTTGATAAAGCCTGGGGGTACGGGGGGGCCTGGAGGCATGATCTGTCTTCTTTGAGGACAGCTGTGTATGGTCTGAAGAGCCGATGCTGGGCTCAGCAGTCCCAGGCAGCAGGGGTTTCAAAACAGTTTGACAGCTTGATTGAAATGTGTGCTCTGCTCTGGGAGCCTGCGCAGAGCCCTGGGGACAGGGCAGGGATTCCCAGAAAGCCTTTCCTCCCCCTTGGCTTTCTTCAGACCAAACATTTGTGTAGGAATCTCCAGCTCGGGAGGAGTCGCTGGAGCCTCACCTGGGCACCGCTGCTCACAAGATGGCTTTGGATGCAGCGCCAGCCCGGATGTTTTGTTTTTTTTCTCCTTCTCTTTGTGACATTGTCTCTGGGGAGAAAGTTTCAAAACATGTTTGTCACTGCTTGTCACAGCCAGGAGCAGGGTTGTCAGGCGAGCTGCGGATCTGCCAGCGAGCTCAGGGCATTCCAGGAAACAGGATGTGGCCCGAAGAGGCTCACTGAGACGGTATCAGCAAAGGTCAACAGCAGCACTGAGGTGACCTTTGACACTGGCGTGCCGTGTCCTTGACTGTGACCTTGACAAAGCTCCTCTACCTGGCTTGTGCCTTGGCCTCTTTATGAGCTGTCTTTTAGTCTTATCTTCAGAAGCACATTCTGCAGAAGCCTCATTTGAACTTGACTCCATGGAAGGAAGTTGGAGAAGGGTTTATCTATAAAGCAAAATGTGGGACTGAGAGTGCAGCTTGTGTAGCGTGTGCAAAGGTCCTGAGGACAATCCCCAGCACAGCAAAAAAAAAAAAAAAAAAGCGTTGCTATTTATGTCAAGTTGACATGATCATGAATCTCTTTCCCCGGGCCTAGAACTTTCTAGGACCAATATGATGCCTGTGTAGTAGGAAATAGACAAATAGAAAATGGGTAAAAGGGCCAAGTACAACACTGGTGGTTCACTCCTATAATCCCAACTACTCAGGAGGTTAAGACATGGAGGATCAAAGTGTAAAGCCAGCCAGGTCAGAAAAGTCTCAGAGGTTTTCTAATGAAACAGCAGAAATGTCAGGCTGAGGATGTGACTCAGGTAGTAAAGTGCTAGCAAAAAAAAAAAATGATAAAAAGGAAAGAGTCTGAATAAAGTTTCATCTTCAAAATAGCTCCAAAGAAATCAAAACCCTTCATTCCATTTGCTGATGGAAATGATTTGTATCTGGGCCAGAAGTGGCATTCGGCAAACACCCTCGCCTCCAACCCGCTCAGAGTGGGTTTCCCACTGAAAACCCAGCAAGTGGCACCCGCTGATTCCGAAGCATGGTTTTCAAAGCCTGTGTGTGGCTGCAGCATATTCAACCTGAAGTGTGTTCGTGTTGAACATCTGAAGCGTGACTTCCGTCTTCATCGAGGGGGCGTTTACAGGCTCTCCTGTGGTCAGCACCTACCTGGAGACGGGAGGCTGGAGTTTATATCTGGGCAGCATGGCTTCTGGTCCCTTTTTACAGTCTCTTATGTGGCCTTTCAGACTTTTTCCTGATCACAAATGCTAATCGCATCACATAAGAGAGATTCATAACATCCTGGTAGCAATTTAAAATACTTAATTTAGCAGGAATGTTACTCCCCACCAACTGCCACTATTAGTATATTTTGCTGGGTCCCCTTCTAGATTTTTCTCTCTGTGTTAGTATCATGTCTAGTGACCACCTGAAATTCTAACTAACATAAGAGCTTTATCATAATTTGACTCATGCGCTTGCTATAAGACCATTTTTGATCATGATTTGACCGGCTACATTCTTAATCTGTCTTCATTCCCTCCCTTACTTGCATTTCCTTCTTTGGAACTAGGGTCACTTGTCAATTTTTTGTTTGTTTGTTTTAAGAATAACTTCAGAAGCTGGGTGCTGGTGGCTCATGCTTATAATCCTAGCTACCTAGGAGGCTGAGATTCGGAGGATTGTGGTTGGAGGCCAGCCTGGGCAGGAGCATCTGTGAGACTCCACCTCCAGTTAACCAGCAAAAAGGTGAACTGGGAGCATGACTCAAGTGGCAGTGTGCCAGCTGTGAGCAAGCCAGCTGGCCAAATAAGAGCCCTGAGTATGAGCTCTGGTACTGGTAGAAAAAAAGAAAGAAAGAAAAAGACAATGCAAGAACTGCAGAAATGATCAGTATATCATTAGTTCCTCCTCTACATATAACAAATAAAGTATCATTTTTCAAATGTGGTCACTTTGAAATAAGAATGTCCATCGGGGCTACAGATACATTCTTGAAAAAGGAAGCCTGTAGCATCTACAGAGAGGCTACATAAAACCATGAGATTACTTTTATTCTTTTTTTAGCAGCATGTATTAATTGTGCAGAGGGTTTCATTATGATTTTTCCATACATGCCTTGTTCAAATTTACTCCCTCTGTTACTTTCTTTTCCCTCCTTCTATTAAAACAATTGGTCTCATTATTCTCTTTTCATGCACTGTTCAATGTAGTTTGATCATAATCACTCACTACCCTTTCCTCTCCCCCACCCCCCTCCTGCTGGTTCACATCTTTAAACTTCCCACCCCTTCCCTCCTCCCATTCTTTACTGGTGTCATTTTTTTGGCTAGTCCTGGAGCTTGAACTCAGGGCCTGGGCACTGTCCTTGAGCGTCTTTTGCTCAAGGCAAGCACTCTACCACTTGGGCCACTTCTGACCTTTTCTGTGTCTGTGGAACTGAGGAATCGAACCCAGGGCTTCATGCATGCTAGACAAGCACTCTACCACTGAGCCACCTTCCCAGCCCCTGGTGTGTCATTTTCTCAAAGCTTTAAGTTGTTGTACAAAGGAGTTGCCATTTAACAAAGCAGTTTATGAATACAACGACTCATTGCTCCCCTTCCCTCCCTCGTCTTGATTTTGTACGATATACATTCGTGTCACTTTTCCCCTCCAACGGTCTGGATTCCACTTAGAAGAGACGAGAACAAGCAATATTTATATTTCTCAGACTGGCTTATGTCATTTCACACCATGATTTCCAATTCCATCTATTCTTTCTGGGAACAACTGAATTTTATTCCTCTTTATGGCTGGATAATAAATACTGCATTATGTATACATACTACATTTTCTTTCTCTGCTCACCAGTGGATGGGCATCTTGATGGATTCATAGCCTGGCTATGGTAGATAATAGCCAGCAACTACCACGACTATTACCATTATTACTGCTCTAAACATGAGCATGCGGTAATGAGATTGCTTCTGGAATGAAAGAGTTCCTCCATTTCTTCTGTAGGTGAAATGGCTCCAGCAACAAGAAGTGAAGCGCAGGGTAAAGAGGCAGGTGCCCAGAGACTCACAGTCCCTTTATTTCAACGACCCCATTTGGTCCAACATGTGGTACCTGGTGAGTTGGGGCGTGGTCTCTCTGCGGGCTGTGTTTTTGAGGGGGGCTGACTTCTCCAGCCGTACTAACTCCTTTACCGGTGCAGGTAGACATACCTCATCTCTAGTGTAAAGCCTCTCCCGTTTGAATGGTAAATAATTGTGCGACTTCGCTGACATACTTGAGAGGTGAGGGAGGGCGGGAGGGATCAGGTAAGGGCAGGGAGGAGATGGAGGGAGGGAGGGAGTGTGGGCAAAACAGTGATAATATTCAGTGCACATATGTGGAAATGGAGCTAGGAAAACGAGGAATGGGTGGAGTTGGGGGAAATGGGGAGAATGATGGAAGGGGTGATGCGGATCAAGATGCCTCGGACCCACAGCTGACACGTTGGATTGAACCCCCTTTGCACCGCTACTTAAAGACAATAAAATGCTCATTGAAAGAAAGAACGAAAGTCCAGGAAGCTGGGTGCCAGTGATTAGGCCTGTCATCCTAGCTACTCAGAAAGCTGAGGGGTGAGAATCGAGATTCGAAGCTAGCTTGGGCAGACAAATCTGAGACTCTTATCTCCAAGTAGCCAGCAAAAGCAAGAACTAGAGGTGTGGCTCAAGTGGTAGAACACCAGGATGAGAGAAAAAGCTGAGTGATAGCACAAGCTCTCAATATACTGGCAAAAAGAAAAGGAAGGAAGGAAGAAAGGAAGGAAGGAAGGAAGGAAGGAAGGAAGGAAGGAAGGAAGGAAGGAAGAAGGAAGGAAGGAAGGAAGCAAAGAAAGAAGGAAGGCAGGCAGGCAGGCAGACCAGGGAAGGCTGTATAAGGAAGCAATGTGATGGAGCCATGGGCCTGACTCAGTGGTGAAGACCTGTGCTAGATAGAGCGCCTGGCAAATGATGATCACCTAGGATGACAACAAAATCCTGGGTGCAGAGCAGCCAGGGAGCACATCCTCACCGCGCCCCCCAACTCCTGGAGAAAGTCTCTGCTAGGGCAGAGGCTGCCATGGGCTCCCGCGTGCTTACCCAAACACGTGAGCGTTATATGTCGCCAGGGTTCCCCCCCCCCCGCAGCCTGAGCGTTCTCTGTGCTAACAGCATTGCGGGGACAGGCACGGGCGCTGCCGGTCAGAGATGAACGTCCAGGCGGCGTGGAAGCGGGGCTACACGGGCAAGAATGTCGTGGTGACCATCCTGGACGATGGCATCGAGAGGAATCACCCGGACCTGGCCCCGAACTATGTAAGTCAAATCCCAGAAGTGCCATGCGGTGACAGTCAGCCGTGCACGGCATAAGATAGGTGCACATTGAAGCACCCCTTCGTTGCCCGTCTGTCCTTACATCCTGTGAACGTAGGCAGAAAAGAAAATGTTACAGGGAGGGCTGAGGGCCATTCTGCCACCAGTGACTGCCAAGAGAGCAGATGGCTCACCTCTTTGGGGAGACACATGAGCATCTAGAAACTTCACATGGACAATTGGAAGGTTAAAACATGGGCTGAGGGCTCACACCTGTAATCTTGGCTACTCAGGAGGCTGAGATCTGAGAATCGAGGCTCAAAGCCAACTCAGGCAGACTCTTAATCCAATTAACCAACAAAAAGCCGGAAGTGGAGGTATGGCTCAAGTGGTAGAGCACCAGCCTTGAGTGAAGAAGCCAAGTAAAAGCGCACACATATAATACATGAGATGGTTGTTATAATACAGAAACTGCGTGTAGTTATTGTTTATTTTCCAGTATGCCTAAAAAAAAAAGATAGTTTAACAGGACTGTGTGGTCCCTCTCCACTGACCAAGATCTAATTCCCAGGATCCTTCTGCAAGCTATGATGTCAATGGAAATGACTACGACCCATCGCCCCGCTATGATGCCAGCAACGAGAACAAGTACGTCCCTGAGCCCCCACCCACCCCTCACCTCTCTGTTTCTCTCCCTGCAGCATGGCAGCTATTGAGTTTCCACACAGAGGCGTGGGACAGGTGCCAGACTACGGGTCCTGTTCCACCTGCCTGAGGCCATTGGGAACTTAGCTGAGGTTTGGAAACACTTCAGGCATTTTGGGGGCTCTGGTGGAGTTTGCCTCTTTCTCTAGGTTTGTCATCTCTGGTGATCGGCTAGAAATGGATCGTGTTGTAGGCATTGTTCTTCTCCCCTATCTTGTTGGAATGATTTTTTAAATGGCCTTTACCTTGCTCAGGGCTGATGGCTCACACCTGTCATCCTAGCTGCTCAGGAGGCTGAGATCTGAGGATCGAGGCTGAGCACCATCCCCAGCCAGGAAAGTCTGCGAAATTCTGATCTCTAATGAACCACCAAAAAGCCAGAAGTAGATCTGTGGCTCAAATGGTAGCATGACAGTCTATAGCAAAAAAACCAAAAACCTGAGGACCACCCCCAGACCCTGAGTTCAAGCCCCAGTACTGATACTTAAAAATAAACAAATCAAAGAAAGCTTCCCCTCAAGCCTCCCTGTTCTATGCCCGGTCCCCACAGAGCTGCAGACACCCAGGCTTCGGGCTGCTTTCCCTAACTCACATCCCAAGGTGCCCTTCATGCCCAGCAGTGAGGATGCCTGGGGCCAGGGGCCTGTGTCCCGCTCACACATCCAGGGGCAGAGACATGTGATCCACGGTCCAGGGGCGGTGACCCTTGAAGGGCAGGATTGAATCCCTGCACAAGCCATGGCGCTGTGTGGCACCACCCCCTCCCCCCCAGAGCAAGCGTGGCCTTGGGGCTGTGAATGCCCGGAGAAGGAAGGATGACTTCCCTCCCCTGGCCTTTGTTAGCCGCTGCTCTAAATGTCAATCCACGATTTTCACCCCTGGTGGACAGTGCTCAAAGATGAACTGTCTAGAGTCCGCTCTGTGTTGACCTGTGCTGGAGGAACTGGCCTTGTGTGGCGTTTCAGAGTATGAGGTCATTATCGAGGAAAGCAATTGTTTTTCTTTGGTAATTTCTTTATCATACATCAGCAGCTATTGAGTGTTCAACTTTGTGTGTGTGTGTGTGTGTGTGTGTGTGTGTGTGTGTGTGTGTGTGTGTATGTGTGTTGGCACTGAGACTTGAACTCAGGGTCTGGGCGCTGCCCCTGAGCTTTTTTGCCCAAGGTTAGTGCTCTGCCACTTGAGCCACACCTCCACTCCTGGCTTTTTCGGTGATTCATTGGAGATAAGAGTCTCATAGGCTTCGCCTGCCCACACTGGCTTTGAACTGCAGTCCTCAGATCTCAGTTTCCTGAGTAGCTAGGATGACAGGCGTGAGCCACCAGCACCTGGCAAGCATTTAACTTACAGGCATCTTCCTTGTGGGTTCCTTGAGGGGGTAGAAATGCCTGGTCCTGGCGTGGTGCCATGAGTATGGTTTGTGCCACGTGATGTGTGTTAGTGACAAGAGGGACAGAGCCTAGGCAGCTCCAGGCACAGCACAGCCATGACCTGATGACAGCTTCTAGGAGGCAGAATCGGGCTACGGGCACAGGAGCCCCAGACTGACTGGGGTGAGGGTTCGCAGCTCGGCATCGCCTGAGTGAGCCGGCCTTCTGCACCAGGCAGGCAGAGCCCCGCAAAGCATGCTGGGTGCTCCTCCCACAGCCATGGATAGCAGCTCAGGAGATGGAGAAGCTGCACCAGCATCCCCCCCCCTCACAGAACCGAGCAGTGCATGGAGTTATGGGCATTTTCTCTTCTTGTTTTGACCCCCCCTTTTTTTTTCTTTTTCAGACATGGCACTCGTTGTGCGGGAGAAGTCGCTGCCTCAGCCAACAACTCTTACTGCATCGTGGGCATAGCATATAATGCTAAAATAGGAGGTAAGCGTGAAGCTGGGAGCCCAGGGGCTGTCCCCCCCCCCCCCCAGCGCAGGGCTCAGGCTCTGCAGCCTCTGCGGCCCTTTGACCGTAGCCATAGCTGTAGCTCTGATCAGAACCAGCGAAGTCAGCTGTGCCAAAGCCCAGGCGGCCAGCGCAGAGGCCCAGGCCTCGACCTGGTGCAGTGGATCCCTGTCTTGTCGGAAGAGCCAGCTCAAATGCCATCAGCGGGGAGCCCTCTGTCACTCGCGGGGCCTGGCCAGCCCGAGGCAGCTGCTCACCTGCTTGGCCGTCAGTCTGTCTCGTCTGCTGTGGTCCTCTCCCATGCCAGGCCTTTGGTGGCCCTCTGTCAGTTCCCACACAGTCTTGTCTTGGGACCGTGGTTTCTCCTACTGACTCCCCTCAAGCCTGCGGACCTCCTTCTCCTGTCTCTGTCCCAGGCTTGGCATTAGCCAAATGCCATTTGTCAGAGTGCCCTCCACAGTGCGGCTCTCAGGACTGGCTGGTTGGTATAGCCAGGTAAGGTGGCAAGGTGAAGACGGTGAAGGAGACGACAAAGAACAGCCCACGGACGCTGTGTGAGAAATACAGCTCGTTACTAAATAGCAGAGGGCTGGTACAGAATTGTGGACGTAAGGCTAAAGAATCTGGAGGTGGGTGGGGGGGCAGCTGGGAAGGTGGCTCAGTGGTAGAGCGCTTGCCTTGCATGCATGAGGCCCTGGGTTTGATTCCTCAGCACCCCATAAGCAAAAATAAAAAAGTGGGAAGTAGCGCTGTGGCTCAAGTGGTAGAGTGCTAGCCTTGAGCTGAAGAGCTGAGGGATAGTGCCCAGGTCCAGAATTCAGGCCCCACGACTGGACCCCCCCCCAAAAAAAAAGAATCTGGAGGGGGAAACCTGCTTGCAGGGCTTAAAATAGGAACTTTTTGAAGTTAATGCATTGAAGATCTTTGTGTTGTTGTTGTTTATGGTTGGACTGGTATTGAGCCCAGGGCCTTACAGTCTTACTTGGATTTTTTGCTCAAGGCTAATGCTCTACCACTTGAGTCATACCTCCAATACTGGCTTTATTGAATGGTTAAGTTGGAGATAAGAGTCACATGGACTTTCCTGTCTGAGCTTGCTTTGAACTTCAATCCTCAGATCTCAGCCTCCTGAATAGCTAGGATGACGGGTGTGAGCCACCGGCTCCTGGCTTAAAGCCTAGAGAGACAACCCAGGAAGCCCCTGAGTCCTCTTCCCCCCCACACCCTTGTGGCTCACCCCAGTAAAACAGCTGAGCAAGTGTGCAAGGTCCTGAGTTCAGTTCCCAGTACTGGCCAGCCCAAAGCAGCAAAGTGGGAGACTCTTATCTACAATTAACCACCAGAATACAGGAAGTAGGAGTTATGGTTCAAAGTGGTAGAGCACTAGCCTTGAGCAAAAGAACACAAGGACAGTAGCCAGGTCCTGAATTCAAGCCCCATTACCAACCCAAACAAACAACAAACCAAACTTGAACCTGCTATTGTAGGACTTCTTGGGCAAGCGATAGGTGGTCAAATGCTTACTTGTGAAGAACAGGAGGCTAGGAGACATCCAAACTCTGTGAAAGCATGTGGCCAGAATGATTTCCCAACACCGTTTGCCATGCTTTTCATCTTCAAAAAAGCCAGAGGGAGGTGTGTGAGAAAGGAAGCATTCACGTATTTAGGATTTTTGTGCCTGTGCTGGTCTTAGGGTGTGGTACTCTACCCCTTGAACCACACACCTTTACTTCTGGCTTTTTGGTAGTTGACTGGAGCTAAGAGTCTCTTGGACTTTCCTTCCTAGGCTGGCTGTGAACCACAACCCTCCAATCTCAGCCCCTTTAGTAGCTAGGATTATAGGCAGGAGCCACCAGTGCCCAGCAATGTGTTTAGATGTTAATAAGCAGCTATTTTCCCCAGCACTGACCAGCGGCCAGCAGAGAGTGGGTAAATATTTTCAGTAGAAACCTGCTGCTCCAACATTAGCTTCAAATGCGAGCGGCTCTTGGGAAATGCCAAAGAGAAGAAAAACAGTAGTCATTTCTATAATGAAAAAAGAAAGCCCCATTTACTATAAATTGCTGGGGACAAAAATCATCTGGACAAGTCACGTAGATGGCAAATTAACTCCCTGTTGTTTCGCGCACTTACGGATTGCTTCGCTGCCTGCTGGGTTCAGAGCTCACAGAGGGCTAGAGAAACGGGGCCGCTCTGTTCTGAGGACCTGGCTCTGGGCAAGGGCTGTGGGATCGTGAAGGAAGGGCGAGGGGGCTTCCTAGGTTTGAGCACTTTGTGGTTGAGTAGACACGTCAGAACGTTGCTGGGGCTCAGTCTCCCAATAGATAATTACAGGCGCTGCAGAAGTTCAATCAGAAGATGGTTTGACTGACTTTCAATACTCTATGCATTCCTATTGAATTACCCAAACACACACCACACACGTATGTGTGTTTATACATATAGTTGTGTTTAGACAATTTAATATATAACATATATAATATAAATAATATATGTATATAGCACTATATTATATATATGTATGTGTGTGTGTGTGTGTGTGCGCGCGCGCTAGTACTGGGGCTTGAACTCAGGGCCTTATGCTTCACCTGGCTTTCAAGGCTGGCACTCTGCCACCTGAGCCACAGCTCCACTCCTGGCTTTTTGGTGGTTAGTTGGAGGTAAGAGTCTCACAGATTTGTCTGCCTCAAACAATGCTCCTCAGATCTCAGTCTCCTGCGTAGCTAGGATTATAAGCAGGAACCACTGGTACACAGCTACCCAATAATCTTTTTTAAAAACTTGTTAGAATAAAGGTGATGTACAGAGGGGTCACAGTTACATAAGCCAGGTAGAGAGTGCAATGTCACCCCTGCCCTCGCTCTCTCCCAGTTTTTCTCTCCTGTCTCCCCCCCCCACAAGTTGTAGAGTTCATTTTCAACGTAGTCTAGTGACTATCACTGCCCAATAATCTTTTAAGTACCTTGTGAGAATTTGCTGAAATAAATGATTCGAGAAGTCTCCTGATAAAGGTAAAATAAAGCAAAATAAATACAACAAAAATAAAGGTCCCCCTAGGGACCTGCCACTCCTTCTCCCCCACTTTCTAAACCACAGGATCGTCTAGGGCAAGACAAGCCTAACACATGCAGTCTCTGAGGAAGCTCATCCTCAAAGAAATGGGAAGTTCCGTGGCACACGCCTGGAAGCCCAGTAATTTGGGAGATGGGGAGATGGTGAAGGGAGGCTCATGGCTGGAGGCCAGCTTGGGGTGGGGTAGGGAAGTAAGCTAGTAAAAACCCTATGTAGAAGAAAAAAACGTGAGCCAAGTGTGGTGGTCCAAGGTTACAATCCCAGCTAGCTACATGGGAAATGTAGATGGGAAGATTACAGCCTAAGACCACTCCACCCCGTCCGCCCCCTAGCTACAATGGAAGACTCTATCTGAAAAACAACTAAAGCAAAAACAAGGCTGCAAGCCATGGCTCAAGTTGTGGAGCTCCTGCCTAAGCCAGTGTGAAGCCCTGACTTGAAAACCAAGTACCACCAGAGAAAAAAAGAAGACAATAAAAAAAAGAGGAATAGGAAGAATAAGCAAACACATGCCCCCGCCCCCCAGGAGTCGGTCACCCTGCCCTAACCAGCCTGAGGAGGAGGAGGGCCGGAGAGGCACACGACGCACCCACCCTTGCTTACTGAGAAATAATGGGTTTTGCTTTCAGCAAATCAATGGCAATGCCAGAGCCATGAAGAACAGCTCACAGGATCCAGTCTCAGCTTCCTGTCTGTGACATGTTCTGCTCACTAATCCCGAATTTAATGAATCCACAGAGAGTTGTTTGCACAACGACAAGTGCATTCTTCTGCTGTATGAATTTGTTTTTGTTTTTTGTTTTTAAATTCTGGCTGGGCACCCATGACTTATGCCTGTACCGCCAGAATCCTAGCTACTCAGGGGGCTGAGATCTGAGGATCATGGTTTGAAGCCAGCCTGAGCAGGAAAGTCCATGAGACTTATCTCCAATGAGTCATTCAAAACAATAAACCGACAAGAAAACAAAGCTGGAAGTGGAGCTGTGGCTCAAATGGTAAAGCACCAGCCTTGAGCGGAAAAGTTTAGGGCCAACGCCCAGGCTCTGAGTTCAAGCCATAAGACTGGCGTGAAAATTTTTTTTTTTAATCTGACAATTCTCATTATCTACTCAAGACAGTAACAGGGCAGTCTCTAGCCTCTAACTATGCCACTACCTTGTTCGAGTGGACTGGTACTGGGTGGCATCTGGCCAAGTCTTTCTTGGCTTCCTGCACTGGTCTTCATCTCCATCAGGCACAAAATGCAGCTGTAGCCAATGATGTGCCACCAAGGTGTGGGCGTGGCCATCCCGCCCTGGCCAATGAGAGGCTGCCCACCTCAGGTGGGGTCGAGTTCATTGGGTTTCCTGACTGTGTGTGTGTGTGTGTGTGTGTGTTTGTGAACTCAGAGTCTGTGCTCTTGCTTGGTATCTTCACTCAAGGCTGGCATTTTACCACTTGAGCCATACCTCTACTTCAAGCTTTCTGCTGGTGAATTGGAGCTGAGAGTCACTAGGATTTCTCTGCCTGGGCTGGCTTGGAATCATTATCCTCAGATCTTTCAGCCTCCTGAAAGATCATGCTTGAGCCACTGGTACCTAGGACTTTTTGGTCTCCTCTACTCTGAAGCTTTGGTATTTGGGGCATTTGCTCACCCTGAAGAGATTGTCTTTTCTGGTGCTAACCAATTCCTAGGGATAGTAAACGAGTCACGTAAGAGTGAGTCCTGTGCAAAGCAATCAGTGCAGAGTCCACACTGCCAGCTACTTCCTGTAATGGACTCTCCTGACCACCAGTCCTCTGGCCTCTGGGGCCCAGCATCAGATGACCTCGTCCCTAAACTGTAGATCCTGCTGAATATTCCCAACCCGGCAGGCTCCAGCCTGGTCAGCCCGCCTTGCCCGAGGAAGTCACAACAAAACTCCATGTTTCCCCTCCATCCTGTCCTCCTGGCCCCCCCAGAACTTCCCGTGAGGCCTTGAGAGGTGCCCTGTGCCCTGCCCTCTGGGGACCAGTGAGTCACCAGTGGCCCTGTCTCCTCCTCACAAAGCCAGAGAAACCTAAACAAGAATGAAAACCACGCTGCTCTCCCACAGTCAGATTTATTTCCAAATCATAAAGACCAGTGGATGCTGAGACCGACCCTGTCATGCTCCCTGCACGTGGGAAGAGGGCCAGGGCCAAAGATGAGCTCCCCAGGGGCTGAGCCACTCTGAGCTGGCAGAATGGAACATGACAGAATGGCCTGCTACGGTCAGAAGGAGCCCGCGCCCCTCTGTTCACCCCTACTTGCAGGAGGTGCCCCCTGAGGGGGTATGGGGCTGAGATGGGGGAAGCCAGGGAAGTGAGACTTCACCCTGCCCTGAAGAAAGGCTACCGGAGGGCGGGCTCGTGGGCCGGGTTAGTTTTCTTTTCTGTCCCATTTGCTTCCAGAGCCCCAGAGCCAAAGCTCCCCACTGCAGTGGTACCAGGGCATCTCAGGGGCCCCGGCCCGAGCGGCCAGAGGCATGGAGGCGCTAGCTTCACCTGCCCTTGCGGAGAGGAGCTGCAGCAAGGAAGCTTGGGGTATGGGACATAGCCCCCCAAGCCCCAATAAAGGGGCTGTTTCTCATCTACTTCCTGATGGCTCCGGCAGAGCCATGGGGTGCTTAGGCCCAGTGGGCAAATCCTTTGATGAGAATGGGGGGGGATAAAAGAGGGAGGCATGGTTCCTAATACCAAGCCAATCTCCCCTCCCCCCCAAAAAAATTAACTTCTAGTGCATTTGAAATGTGCTGGAGACCTTTGAAGATTAATCTAGAGCTTAAACGGTTCTCTTAAAACACTCACCGGCTTAAACTGCTTAATGGAATCACTAATGAGACTGAATTCTGTGACTCCAAATTAACATAATTAATCACTGTGTACTGCGGATTAATTTGGCTGTTATGTACTTAACAGTTCCATGCTTGTGGAGGGAAAAGAACATGATTCCGTTCCCCAATCCAAATATGGAGCAAACAGAAAAACAAAATAAAAAACAACCAACAGAAATTTGGTCAGGGCTATTTACTTTTCTTCCCAGGAACAGCTTGAGATGCAGGATGCAAATGCAGATGCAGGGTAAGAAAACAGCTGGGAAAATGCAAGATGAGAAAACAGCCTGGGAGGACTCAGGATGAGTACACAGCTAGGGGAGGGAGACTCAGGATGAGTACATAGCCTGGGAGGACTCAGGATGAGTATACAACCTGGGAAGACTCAGGATGAGTATATAGCCAGGGGAGACTCAGGATGAGTATACAGCCTGGGAGGACTCAGGATTAGTATAGCAACTGGCTGGGTGGTAGCTGGCCCCACAACTGACCCCTCCCCCCCAAAAAAGTCACAGACTTTCCTGCCCCACTGGCTTCAAATCACAATCTTCATATCTCAGCCTCTTGAGTAGCTGGGATTACAGGTGTGAGCCACTGGAGCCTGGCATAACATCATGGTACTAGAGGGAGACTTTGCATCTTCTGGAAGCAGTCTCTTTTCCTTTGTTGTTGCTATGCAACGGGAGCATCTCACGGTGTGGCCTGTAGTGTCGTTTTCTGGTCTTGCACACCAGCCAGCAGAGAGGAGCGTGCTTCCTGAAATGACCCGGGAGGAGCCCCATGGCTCAGTGTGACCCAGCCCATAGTGGACATAGGGATCCAGGTACTGACCAACGCCCCCCCCCCTTTCCTTCCCCCGATGTGCTTTTAGGCATCCGCATGCTGGATGGCGATGTCACCGACGTGGTGGAAGCCAAGTCACTGGGCATCAAACCCAACTACATCGACATCTACAGCTCCAGCTGGGGGCCGGATGACGACGGGAAGACGGTGGACGGGCCCGGCCGACTGGCCAAACAGGCTTTCGAGTATGGCATTAAAAAGGTGGGAGTTACAGGAGAGCTCCTGGGGCGGGGGACAGGGAGAGACAGGAGGAACAGCTAAGAATCCAGGAGAACCAGCCACAGGGGGAAGCAGGCCTGGCCAGGGCTTCCTTCCATGCTCCGGGGAGCGTTGAGCCACCAGGGCTCAGGAGAGCAACAGTGGATCAGCTGGGGCAGAAGCTGTCACACTTTCCTGGGAGGGGCAGCTTGGGATCCGCCCACCCAACCCTCTGTGTTGGAATTCTTTTTATTTTATTTGCCAGTCCTCAGGCTTGAACTCAGGGCCTGGCTGCTGTCCCTGAGCTTTTTTTTGCTCAAGGCCAGCACTCTACCACTTTGAACCACAGAATCATTTCTGGTTTTCTGGTGGTTCCTTGGAGATAAGAGTCTCACAGCCTGCTCTGTCCCAGCTGGCTTCGAACCTGGATCCTCCTATCTCCGCCTTCTGAGTAGCTTGGATTACAGGCATGAGCCACCAGTGCCCGGCTTAGAGCAATTATGTGGGTCCATCACAAGTGTTTGCTAATCCAGTGTCCTGCAGGAAGCCAGGGTCTGAGCCCCAAGCCCAGCTCCACCAGCAAGCTGTCCAATCCGGATTATTTAGATAGTACTTTTACCACATGCAAGAGGCTGGGGAAGGTTGGTAAGCGCCTCTCATCCATTCTGGATCGTGAGACTTCGAGAGCCTGGAGGCTGAGACAGGGTAAGTGGAAATGGACCGTTTTCACATGCAGGGTGGCAAGGTAGAGTTGAGTGAGGACAGCTTCTTGGAGCGAGCAGACAAAGCTGTGGTGGCCAAGGGAGACACAGCTGGCTGAGGAGTGTTGGCAGGGAGGAGTTTCCACAGGAAGCCCAGGTGTTCTCTGAAGGACGGAGAGGAAGGGTTTGGGGGAGTCACACGGCGCGTGATGTGATTTAAAACAGTTTGTGGAGGAGGGAGGGGCCAGGAGGGAAGGAGCAGAGGGGAGGAGAGGAGAGCAGACCGCAGACAGCACACACTTGGGACCCTGGACCGCTTTTTAAAATCTCTGGGTCTCCAGGGAAGACACTGGGTGGCCTCCACTTGGCCGCTGGCCACCTGAGCTGGGCCGTGTACAGGGCTGTGGGCTAGAGCAGGGCAGCACTGGCAGATTCAGGCACCACCCTGGCCATCCGTCAGGGGCTGCGGAATAAATAAACCACATCTCTCCAGGACTCCACGCCCTCCCTCCTCCCCCACCATCGCTTGGATCCCACACTTGATGACAAGTGAAGCATCTTAAAAATTAAGCTGAACTGCAGCTTCCGAGAGGGTAGCATAAGTTAGAGATTGCATTGTCATACAAAATGTAGCGTGTTGAATGGTGTTGATGAGGAACTCCTGGCTTTCCTAGGAGGTGATTTCTAAGGATGAGAAAGAGAGAGTTTAGGATTAGGGGTGTGGCTTCCAGGAAGGGAAAAGGAATTATGGGTCATCCACTAAGGTTTGTGTAGATGGAACCCAGACAAGACTGAAAGCTTGAAACTGGGCACTGATACTTACACCTATAATCCTAGCTTTTCAGGAGGTTTGAGATCTGAGGATCCCAGTTCAAAGCCAACCAGGGCAGAAAAGGTCACGAGTCTCAAACCAGCCAAAAGCCAGAAGAGGAGCTGTGGCTCAAGTGGTAGAGCATCTACCTTGAGCAGAAAAAAGTATGAGGCCCTGAGTTTAATGCCCAATACTCTCTCTCTCTCTCACACACACACACACACACACGCACACACACACACACACACACACACACACACACACACACACACACACACGCTCTAAGCTTCAGAGAAAGGAACCTGGATTCCAATCAGCATCAGCTTCGTCCAGCTGTCAGGAAAGAAGAGACTTGGGCTCCCCTTTGTTGTCCCTTAAAATACTGAGGTCATTTAATTATTTTTTTCAGTCACTCTGAAGTGAAATATGTCACCCAGGGAGCCTGAAATCACAACTGTCTAAAAGCTGTCATGGAAAATCCTCCCAGAAATGGGATGGTCCTAACCCAAAGCTGACGTTTCTCGTGTTTTTCCTCTGTGCTGCTCCATTTGTCACCTGAGGTCCTTTTTTTTTTTTCTGTAAAATCTGGCTCCGGCTTTGGTAGATGGCGTGGCCTAGTGGCAGAGGACGTTAGTAGCCCTAATTTGGCCCCGCGATCTGTTTGATATGGGTGCTGATGAAGTGTCACACCTCTGCGACTTGTCATTCATCGCTGTGGCTTAGCAACCCTGTCCCATCCCGATGGCGGCAGCCATTGCTGGCCCCCACTACGGTGCTTCTGAGCCCCATCTGGTCGAGCTAGAGTTGTGGCTTTACTCAACAGAAATAATACATTACCAGGAGCAGGTGGCTCACGCCTGTCATCCTAGCTAACTCTGGAGGCTGAGACCTGGAGATCACAGTTCAAAGCCAGCTCGGGCGGACAAAGCCAGAGTTGGAGCAGTGGCTCAAGTGGTAACAGCTGACCGATACATGACTGTAAACCTGCTGGGTTCCAGGCTGCTTTGTTATAGGATTTTCAGATGACTAAGCACATGCCCATTCAAGCTCAGTGAGTGCAGTTTGAAGCCATTTTCTGTGCACTGGGACCATAAGATTACAGTTCCACTTGGCAAACGACAACACCTTCTAGATCGTTTTGAGTAAGATGAGACTTGCAGTGTCTCCAAGATGCTTCTTGGGTAGAATAAAGATAGGCTGTGATGGGTTTAGATGCTTTTTATTTGGACTTTCGTTCCTTTAAACTGGCCTCTGATTAATCTTTTCCAATGGGTAATTATGGCTTTCCTTTGCTTAATGACGGGGCCATGTTCTGAGAAATGCATGGCTAGACGATTTCATCATTTCCTGAAGATCCCAGGGTGTACTTGGGCATACCTGGATACCGGAGGCTCTGTATACTTAGCTTCTGCACATCTGGATGGGCTAGGACCTTCTATGCATGGTCCAAGCATCCTTATGCATGTATGACCACAATGTCTCTCTTTCCCTCCTCCCCCTCTCTCTCTCACACACACTCCCCTAGCCCGCCCACTTCTATGGCCTTTGTGGAGAGTACTTGGCTACTGGGACCAGTCCACCCTGGAGATACAGGCAGCAGAATGGAGCAGCTAGAAGAAGCAGCAGGGCTGGGCGGGCACCTGTGGGCTCTGTTGGGAGCTCCACATTGGGACTGGAGCCCCTTTAGTTTGCCAAGTAGAGTGTGATGGGGCTGTTGGAGCAGCTCTGTCCACTCAGCCAAGGGCAGACTTGAACTTCAAGGATGAAGATAAGACATCCAGTCCTGTGTAAGGCTACAAGATTACCAAGTGAAACAAACATGGGCTGGTGCTGACAATCTCATGGCTGTCCCCTGATCCATGGTGGCAGCACCCCAGGGAACTCTAATGGGACCCTGTGGACAGCCACCAGTGTGGTGGACCTGAACTTTATTTACCCCGTAGTTACAGCCTCATCTTTTTGCAAAGTTAGCTTGCTCCCTGAGAAGGCTACACCTTGTTAGCTGTTTTCAGGAAAATTCCCTTTTCCTTCCCCACAAGACCAGCAACTTCACTCAGAAAGATTAAAGTTGCAAATCCTGCCGCCATCTGTCATCTTGGCATTGTTGGCTATTTTCATGGATATTGGAAGGGTTGCTATAAAATGGAACAGCTTGTGTCCCGGCCCTGGATTTTCTTGTGAAAAACAAAGGGGTCCTTTTGCTGTTGTTGTTGTGTTGTGCTGGCACTGGGGCTTGAAATCAGAGCCTATACTATCCCTTAGCTTTTTCATCCAGAGCTGGCACTCTACCACTTGAGCCATACCTCCACTTCCAGCTTTTTGCTGGCTAATTGGAGATAAGAGTCTCATGGACTTTCTTGCCTGGGCTGGCTTTGAACCCCAATTCTTAGATCTCAGCCTCCTCAGTAGCTAGGATTATAGGTATAAGCCACTGGAGCAGGGCTGTGGCAGGAATCCTGCAATTCTGCAATTTTAGGGCTTTGCCACAGGTTAATCTCCCCCCCCATTCACCACCACCCCCCACTCAAATCCAGCGGAGCTCTCCAGCTTGTCTTCATTTCCTGCCCTTAGCCCTTTTGGAAGAATCCAGAAGGTGGGCCTACAGGCCAGTGTGGGACCCTCCCTAGGCCTGGAGTCCCAGCTGTCATCATTGATGCCTTGTTTTCTTTCCACGTAGGGCCGGCAGGGCTTGGGTTCCATTTTTGTCTGGGCCTCCGGGAACGGCGGGAGAGAGGGCGACCATTGTTCCTGCGACGGCTATACCAACAGCATCTACACCATCTCGGTGAGCAGCACCACGGAGAACGGCCACAAGCCCTGGTACCTGGAAGAGTGCGCGTCCACCCTGGCCACCACCTACAGCAGCGGCGCCTTCTACGAGCGCAAAATCGTAAGTGGCCCCTGCCAGTCGGAGGGCTGGCCACGTGCCTCTGCCCTCAGAGGGGCGTGTCCCAGTCTCAAGGTCAAGTCCAGTCCCTGGGCAGCCCTGCCCTGGACCCCGCCTTGCTCCTCTGTGCCCAGGAATGCCAATTAAAACCCTCTCTGGTTTTCGCCATCTAAAAATAATCATTTAAGAATGGGGTTCCTTCTCGTCGCCTCTCCTTTTAGCTCTCTGAACTCCTGTGGTCACATTTCTCAGAGCCCAATTGACCGGTCCCATTCCAACGTGTCCAAGAAGAAGAAGAGGAAGCTTGGGTTTTATGCTGGAACATTCTAGAAATCCAAGTATTCCCATGGGCTTCTGTTGCTTACAGCATCAGGGCTTTGTTGGCTTGTCTATCCTGCTTTCCTCAGTGACCCTACGTGTGATGTATCTTTTAATCCTTTCTTTGTGGTGCTGAGCCTTGCACATGCTAAACAGCCCTCTAGTCCATTTTGCCCAATCCCCGGCTATCTATCTATCTATCTATCTATCTATCTATCTATCTATCTATCTATCTATCTATCTATCTATCTATCTATCTATCTATCTATCTATCTAGTCAGTCGTTGGGCCTGAACTCTGGGCCTGGGCCCTGTGCCTCTGCTCTTCAGCTCAAGGCGAGTGTTCTACACTTGAGTCACAGCACCACTTCCAGGTTTCTGGTGGTTCATTGGAGATCAGAGTCTTATAGACTTTCCTGCCTGGGCTGGCTTTGAACTGCGATCCTCAGATCTCAGCCTCCTGAGTAGGTAGGATGACAGGTGTGAGCCATCAGCGCCCAGCTCCTTCATATATTTTTTTAAACAGTTGCTGTTTCAATATATGGGTGGAATTCATGCTTTGGCCTTCAGAATGTACTTTCCTATATTTAAAAACAATCAAAAGAGGAAAAGATGGTTTCCAGTCTGCATGAATGAGGAATTCAGACGAGCGCTGGTTAAGTGTGTTTGTAGACGTTTTACTATCACACCCTGGAGCTGACCAAACCTGCTTTAATTTCAATGCTCACCAGTGGCTTTTCATTTCTCTTGCTAATTAGCCACATCTTTAGAAATTACTTGCAGAGTGATTTTTTTTTTTACATTTTTGGGCGTGTGTATGCCCATGCTGCTGGAGCTTGCTCTCAGGGCTGTTCTACCACGTAAGCCGCCCTGCCACTTCTGACTTTTTGCTGGTTGGTTGGAGATAAGAGTCTCATGGACTTTCTTGCTCCAGCTGATCCTTGCTTGCTTCGAACCATGATCCTCAGATCTCAGTCTCCTGAGTAGCTAGGATGATAGGTGTGAGCCGCTGGTGCCTGGCTGATTTCTACATTTTTCCAGGGGAGCATCCAGGCTTCCTGGTGCCAAGGCCAGTCCCCCAGACCCCAGGCTGGTTTATTGTAGTGTTCATTGACATCATTTCTGTCCTTTCCTTGCTGCAGTACTGGGCCCTATACTACAGGGAGGGGCGGAAGAGACTGAATGGGGTTTGGTTCCTGTTGGCATGGGGCTCACTTGAGCACCGACTTGCTGGAGTCTTAGTTAGACACTTGGGCTGAAACCTGGCAGAGGCCTGCTGGCTGAGTGAGGGCAAGTTGAGGCTTGTGTTACTGGACACGCCGAGCCACGGGTGTGTGCTGAAAGCGTGCTGTCACTCCGCTCTGGAAGGAGGGCTATGGCTTCCTTTGCTTATTTAATCCTGCCAGTGTGTGTGTGTGTGTGTGTGTGTGTGTGTGTGTGCATGCGTGCATGGGTGCGCACCCAGCTACAAATGGCTTTTGTTTCCTTTTTGAATTCACCACCTCAAACTCACATCTGTCATCCTAGCCACTCAGGAGGCTGAGATCTGAGGATCAAGGGTCAAAACCAGCCATAGCATGAATGTCTATGAGACTCTTATTTCCAATTAACCAGCAAATGCTGGGAGTAGAGATGTGATTCAGGTGGTAGAGTAAAGGAGCTAAGGGATGGCCCTGAGTTCAAATCCCAGTAGTGGGGCTTGGGAGAAGGTCTCCTCAGGTTACAGAGTGGCTGCTGGAGCCCTGCCATGGGTAGAGGGGTGATGACCAGATATCCAAGTTAGCAGCTTAAAACCCATGGAGAATGCTCCGGCTCTGTGTGCTTTCTGCAGACAGAACCCATCCTGTCAGCTCTCTGGGGAGCATCTCCAGGTGGACACCCAGTCTTCAACCTTCTGGGTAAAAAAGCAGGAACCTCATCTGGGCCAGGTGTCCAGCTGGTTCCAGCTGCCTTGAGGTCTCCAGTCTGGGCCTGGCGGGTGGGATAAGGCCAGGTCTTTTAGGCATCTGAGGCAGGGAGGGACAGGGTGACAAGGGACCTGTTGTCCCAAGCCATGTCTGCATAGACCCGTCATCAAAGCTCCTGGCGGGTGGGGGGGACTCCTGGATGCCCATCCTTTACCTGCCTCAGTCTCCCTTTCCCCCCTGAGAGGAGCTCCTCCCTCCAGAGGGAACACCAGGCCCACGGGTTTGCCCATGGTCTGTCATTGGCAGCCAGGGTCCCGCGTGCACAAGGAAGGCACCAGCGCGTTGTGTGTGTGGATCTGATTCCCCCAAGAGCCTCGCCTAACACGCGTGCCCACCCCTCCCCCGCTCTCGCCCAGGTCACCACTGATCTGCGGCAGCGCTGCACCGACGGCCACACCGGGACGTCCGTCTCGGCCCCCATGGTGGCAGGCATGCTAGCCTTGGCTCTAGAAGCAAAGTAAGTTTCCATTTTCCTCCTTTCTTTTCTTTTCTGTTAAAAAAAAAAGTTTCTATCCACCCCAGTGGCTCACACCTGTCATCCCAGCCACGCAGGAGGCTGAGATCTGAGGATCACAATTGGAAACCAGCCCAGGCAGACAAATCCAAGAGAGCGTGAATGCCACGTGCAGTCATGGGTCTGAAATAAATTCAAAACTGTCCCTGAAGCCAGGCCCTCGGCAGTACTCGCTTGTCAGAGAGGAGTTTTGAAGGAATTCCGGAGGAAGGTTTGGGATGTATCAGTCCTTCTCGTTATGCATGCTCAGCATGTAGATTTGCCTAGAACTAAAGACCATAGCAGGCAAATGCTACCAATTGAATACAGAAACAGAAAAAGATTTCCAATTTCTACTCCAAAATGTTAGCTTCTGTGTTCTCAGGCCCTTAAAAAAAAATTCTAAATAATGAATTACTTGTGTGGAAAGTTGCTTCCACATGCTTAGCAAGTCCTTGCTCTTTTCTTTCCTTCCTCATTGGAAACAGACAAGGAACTTAGGCAAAACTGAGTGGAAAATAAACCCTGCTTCACAACCAATCTTCAACATTAAAGCTGCCCATGGAGCTAGAGTCTCAGAGACATGGCTTCCTCAGATTTTTTTTTTCTCCTCCTCAGAAACTTATAGGATAAAGCCAGGTACCTGTGACTAAGCTTGTAATCCTAGCTAATCAGGAGGCTGAGCTCTGAGGATCAAGGTTCCAAGTTAACCACAGTGAGGAAGCTTATGAGATTGTCTCCAATTACCCTGGCAAAAAGCTGGAAGTGAAGCTGGGGCTCTTGATTAATATTTATGATTGGTTACAAAATCTTAGGTCTGTGTCAGTCTAACAGAGGATTTAAATATCTGTGAATGGAAGACTCGAGTCTACACTTGGAGCATTTATGTTTACATAGCAGGAATCTTCTGTCTGTGTCTTGTCTGAACTCACCGATCTGGGCCACATTTTACAGCAGCCTTGCAGAAGAACGCTCAGGCCTTCAAATGCCAGAGTCTACAATCAAGCAAAAGAAAGAAACACCAATCTTATTTTACTCTTGGCCTAGCCGTAGCATGAGAAATACTGCTTTGTTCAGCCCAAGGTGCATAGCTCGTAAGGCAGGCCCCTTTTCGGGCCACAGAACTGGGACTTCTGTTGACACAACACTTGACAGAATCTTTGTGATGATTGAGGAGTTCTTTCCCACTGAGAGTTATGCGGCCTTGGAAATGGCAACTCTTGAACGCTAAGGACAGAGAGGAGCCCTGCAAAACTTCCTTATGCAAAGAGATCCTGATTTCAGAGGCAATTATACCTCAGAAGCAAGGAGATGTCTGTGCATTTTCTTTTCAGGTCCTGGAGCTTGAACTCAGGGCCTGAGCGCTGTCCCTTGGTTTTGGTTTTTGTTGTTTTGTTTTGTTTTTACTTGAGGCTAGTGCTCTACCACTTGAGCCACAGCTTCACTTCTGGCTTTTTGCTGGTTCCTTGGAGGGAAGTGTCTCACAGACTCTTCTGGCCTGGCTGGATTCAAGCCTCAATCCTCTGATCTCAGCCTCCTGAATAGCTAGGATTACAGGCGTGAGCCACCACTCCCCCCCCCTTCCCTTCCCCCACCCCGTCCCGGGCTTAGAACCAGTTCTGCGTAAAGCGTTTAGGGAGTGAATCCTTTGTTCAGGACAGGTTATGAACCCAGCAGGCTCTGGTTTCGTCTCAATCAGCTTCTGGGCGCCCTCGGGGTCGCTGAGCTGGTGTCAGCGGTCTGAACATTTCATTGCAGCAGCCAGCTCACCTGGAGGGATGTCCAGCACCTGCTGGTGAAGACATCCAGGCCGGCACACCTGAAGGCAAACGACTGGAAGATCAACGGCGCCGGGCGTAAAGGTGCGGGAGCGCCCAGTGGGCGGGGCAAGGGCCAAGGTGTCATTCTGTCCGGTGGTGGTGGTGGTGGTGGTGGTGGTAAGGGGTGGTGTGAATCCCTTTGAAGGAAATTCCCAATAACTAACTTTAATCACGGTTCTCAATTGTGTATCGTGAGGATCAGAAACCGGACAGGCACACCTGTCATCCTAGCATGGTTCGAAGCCAGCCTGGGGAGGAAAATCCGTGAGACTCTCTTATCTCCACTAAATTAACCAAAAAGGCTGGAAGTGGTGCAGTGGCTCAAGTGGTAGAGCACTAGCCTTGAGTGAAAGAAGCTCAGGGACAGTGCCCAGCCCTGAGTTCAAGCCCCAAGCCTGGCAAAAAGACAGAGACAGAGAAACGTATATACAGTGATTTCATAAGGGTTTCAACCTGTACCAACCTGTCATTAGAGCAACAAAGCCATGTCTCAGTGACATTTTTTAACCTCTCAGGAGGCACCTACACCTATGTTTATACAATAATTTTCTTTAATTGACTCCTTTTTAAAAATTCTTTTTTTGTGTGTGAACATAAATATATTTTAGCTGAGTACCCATGAGTCCCACGCCTGTACTCCTAGCTACTCAGGAGGCAGAGATCTAGAGGATCATGGTTTGAATCTCCAGCCTGGGAAGAAAAGTCTCTGACACTACCATCTTCAAATAATCAACAAAAAGCCAGGTTGCAGGCATGGTTTAAGTGGTAGAGTACCATCTATGAGCAAGAAAGCTAAGACAGTGAAATCCTGAGGTCATGCCCCAGTAATAGCAAAAGTGAATCATGAGTTTGTAGATATATGCTTCTTTTTTTTCTTCTTTTAAAAGAAATTTTGATACATATATAAACTAAATCTAGCCAGGTGTGGTGGTATATACCTGCATTTGCCAGGCAGAGGCAGGAGTCTCTGCTACATGGAGGGACACAGATACTGCAGGCCCCTGTGAAGAAACCTAATGGTAGCTGGGTGCTGGTGACTCAGGAGGCCAGAAATCTGAGGATCACAGTTTGAAGCCAGCCTGGAGTAGACAAATTCGTGAAACTCTTAGCTCCAAAGCCAGAAGTGGGAGTGGGGCTCAAGTGGAAGAGTACCAGCCTTGAGCAAAAAGCTAAGCAGGAGTATAAAGCCCCAAGTTCAAGTCCCACTACCACCAAAGGAAAGTTCTGGGCCCTCTCCTTCTCCTAGTCTGACCCCATGTGAACCACCTCTCCTGGCCAGGCTCCTGCAAGGAGGTCCTGTCAGCTGGGACAGCTGTTAGAATGACCTGTCCTGTAGCCTGAGCCAGCACAAAGCCGAGGGGTCACAGGCGGTGTGAGCAGAGCGGCCAGGGAAAATGCCCGGGCTCCCTGCCCAGAGGCAGACGAGCCGGCTCTGAAGGCCCTGTCTTTCCAGTTAGCCATCTCTATGGATTTGGCTTGGTGGATGCAGACGCTCTGGTGGTGGAGGCGAAGAAGTGGACAGCAGTCCCGGCCCAGCACACGTGCGTGGCCACCACGGACAAGAGGCTCAGGTGAGGCTCTGTGCGGACTTGTCAGACACCTCAGACTCTGCCGGAAGGCAGAGCAGGGAAGGATGGGGGAAGGGTTTGCACACGCATTTCCCGACACGTAGGCAGGAACACTCATGTGCTTGTGCATAGCAACTCCTCTCTCTTGTGGATGCACAGCTGGGAAAAGATCCGCTTCTGGCTGCATAACTCAGCCTGGTATCAAATTCTTTTCCATAAGGCTCAGTATTCCCCACCGGATGGGATATCTATCTGTCTTAGCCAGATGCGGGTGGCTCACACCTGTAACCCTAGCCACTCAGGAGGCTGAAATCTGAGGATCGAGGTTTGAAGGCAGCCTGGGCAGAGTCTTAGATCCAATTAACCAGCAAAAAGCCAGAAATGGAGTTGTGGTTTAAGTGGTAAAGTGCCAACCTTGAGCAAAAAAGCCAAGTGAGCGTAAGAGGCTCTAAGTTCCAGCCCCAGTACTGCACACACACACACACACACACACACACACACACTCACACACACACACTCACACACATGCGCGCGCACACACACACACATACACACACAATTTATTTTTTAAGAGGATGCATTTCCACCTATGATTATTTGTTTTCTTTGGGGAAACATGTTGGAAACAGGTGATATAGTGATTAGAAGCGACACATTGCAGGCTGGGGGTGTAGCTCAGTGGTAGAGTGGCTTGTCCGGCAGTGTACAAGGTTCTGGGTTCTATCCCCAGTCCTTCCCAAAACCCATTGCTTTCTCAAACACACAGGTAGATCACTGTGAAATCATTCCTTGCTTGACTTTTTAAACTAGACTCTTTGGCCACAAACATTGAGAGAAGTCTTTCTTGTGGGAGCCTTGCAAAATGGAGAGAGTCAGGAAGAATTTTCCAGATGGCTAGTTACAGAAGGATCATTCCTATAGCTAATATCCCCAAACGTCCCACCCAGACTGGACAGTTCCGTGAGCCAGTGCCCAAGTCTGTATTGGCTTCCTCGAGCCTCATCTTTTGCAAGCCTTACACTGCCAAATTTGATTCTGTAGATAAGGAGACCTCTTTGCCTCTCTTGGTTTTTGTTGATTGGGAAACGCTGTAATCGGATGCCAGGGGGAAGAGGTGCCAGCCTCCCATCTGCTTCCTGTCCCGTTGGGCTGCCCCGGCCCCGTTCGCTGGGCTCCTGGTTAGGGCAGCTCCTGAAAGAGGCATTCTTCTCCTGCCAGAAGTCATTTTTAAGATGGCAGAGTGGTGCCTAGGTGGCGAACAGTTGTTTTTATTTTTTTACCTTAGTTTGCTCTTTAAGTGAACGCACACAGAGTCTAGACAGGCGCAGATCGCGGGGGGAAACACAGGTTGACATTGTTCCTGGTCCTTTGAGGAAAATCAGAACTCCACAATTCCAAGAACGGCCAAGAATGGAGCTTCTGTTTCCCAAGGAAAGTCATCCTGACCTCGCACTGTTTCAGAGTCTTTCTGGAATTTTTGGCCTCAGATCCCTTAGCCAACTCCATCATTAGAGGTTCCTGAGGATGTGGGGGTCCCCGGGAAGAGTACAAGCACCCTGGGGGACGCATCTGCTTCCTTCCTACCCAGGGGACCTCACCTGGGGTGCTCTGGCTGCTCTTCTCCATCCTGACTGCCTGTATGGGGTCCCGGACAGGGGTGACGGGAGTGGGGGGTCCCTTGCTTCCTCTCCCCTTGCTCCAGTTCTGGTCAGTTGTGCCCCACCTGGCGTCAAATGAATGAGAAATGTCCCCTGGTCTGCTGCTGCCTCTGCGGGCGACACTCAACCCAGCTCACCCTCCTTAGTCTCCAAGTCCTTCCTCTCCTGGTGGCATCTGGGGACTGTTTGAATGTCCCAGACCTGGACTCAGCTGTTTCTCCCGATGGACAGCAGAAAAAGAAGGAGAGGGAGCCAGGACTGGTGGCTCACACCTGGAATCCTAGCTGCCTAGGAGGCTGAGATCTGAGGATCGTGGTCCAAAGCCAGCCTGGGCAGGAAAGTCCATGAGACTCTTCTCTCCAATTGACCGACAAAAAGCCAGAAGTGAAGCTGTGGTTCAAGTAGTAGAGTACCAGCCTTGAGCAAAAAAAGCTAAGGGACAGTGCCCAGGCCCTGAGTTCAAACCCCGAGACCGGCACCAAAAATAAGTCCCTTGATGTGAGGAGAAGATTGGAGAGCCTACCAGGAAACAGGACCACAGACTCTTACAGTCTGGCATCTCCCCAACCCCAGAATAGACTCAGCATCAGAGTGCCTTCTACAGTGCTCACATGGGTCAAGTCTGTAACAGGCAGCATTCTGCAAATGCTAAGTCCAAATGCAGCAACCTGGTACTCGGCGCCTGGACTCAAGGCCTCACAGTCTCGCTCGGCTATTTTGCTTGGCTAGCACTCTACCACTTGAACCACACCTCCAGCCTGACATTTTGCTGTTTCACTGGAGATGGAATCTGGCAGACTTGCCTTTCCCCTGGCTGGCTTTATACCTCCCGTCCTCCAGGCCTCAGCCTCCTGACAGGCTAGGATGACAGGGTTGAGCCAACCCAGGCCCAACAAAGCAGGTACATTTTGCCCATAAAAGACAAAGAACATTGTGACCGGTGACATCTGCCCATGCAGAATTATTCTCCAATCTGTGTGTCCCTCTTTCTTTCTCTGTCTCTTCCTTTCTTTGTCTCTTTCTCTGTCTCTCACTGTCTCTGTGTCTCTGTCTCTCTCCTGTTCGTTCTTTGTCTTTATCTCTCTCACTCTTTCTCTTTCTGTGGCTTTGTCTCTGTCTCTTACTCTCTCTTTTTCTCTCTCCTTCTTACACAAACATACATACAGCTTTCCATCTCCAAAGCTACTGCGTGGCTTTGAATACGAACGATTATCTGTACAGCAGATAACCTATTTAGAGATGTTCAGGTATCAGTTCTAGATTAACCACCTCCTCTTTTCTTTCTGGATATTTCATTATTTCTGGAATTTCATTACACCAGACTGTGTCTGATGCACCTTTTCAAGCAACTTTATACATCAGGACATAGAACCATGAATGACGAATAATGCATAACAATTACACAGTCACTCACTAAACTCCAGACATCTTTCCAAGTGATTTACATGTCTTAACTCTTTCAAAATCCCAAGAAGTGTGTACAACTTGGGGACTATATGTACCCTCAAGACGGAGACACACAGATCAGAAGCTGGCCTGGACTGGGCTGCTCCAGGGCTGAACCCAGGCTTTCTGGCTTCCCTACAAATTCAGGCCAAGCAGAGTGATCTGCCACCCCGCAGGCCCTGTCCTTGCGTCCCTCCACACCCCCTGGCTGCCTATGGATGTGGTCTCTGAGGGCAGGAAAGCACTCAGTCCTGGCTATGTAGCTTTCTCCCATCTTGGCCTCATGCAGCCCCCAGAGCCAGCCCCTTGTGGCTGGTTTGGTGCATTTCCCAGGAGTTGGACCCAGGTCGGCCGGCCCCAGTGGGGCCCCATTGCACATGTAGGTATTGGGGACCCATTCTCCCTCCCCAGCACATCCCTCCTGGGCACTGGGCCCCTCAACGTACCTGCATACCACGTGAGGCCTTTGGTTTTGAGTTTTCAAGCCATTGCTAGAGAGGCCATTGCTGGGGGTGACCGCCCTCAACACACACACACACACACACACACACACACACACACACACACACACACACCAGGTGCTATGGGTGCGGTCCTGTTCTGGGGACAGTCATACTGGATCATGATGTTTGTTCTGTTTCTTGATACACCTGCAGGTCCTTGTGAATTAGAACAAATCATCCCATTTTCCTGAACTATTGCTCAAGGGGTTTTAGGATCAATATAAAGGGTCATGGCTGACATCCTTATACCAAAAGACAGGCTAACCAGAGAACAGATGATAATTGATCATAGGGGTTATTTTCTTTTGTTTTTGTTTATTTGCTGATTCCACGGCTTCGACTCAGTACCTCCTACTCTCACTGGATGAATGCTTTTTTTGCTCATGGATGGTGCTCCACTACCTGAGTCACACATCCAGCCTATTTTTGGGGCTTGGGCGCTGTGCCTGCACTATTAAGCTCAAGGCGAGCGCTCTGCTGCTTGAACCACAGCACCACTTCTGGTTTTCTGGTGGTTTATTGTAGATAAAGAGTCTCACAGAGTTCCCTGCCCGAACTGGCTTTGAACAGAGATCCTCAGATCTCAGCTTCCTGAGTAGCTATGATTACAGGCGTGAGCCACCGGCGCCCGGCTGAGGATCTGAGGATCCTGAGATCTGAGGATCACGCTTCAAAGTTGGCAGGGGCAGGAAACTCCATGAGATTCTTAGCTCTAATAAACCACTAGAAAACCAGAAGTGGCACTGTGGCTCAAGCGGTAGAGCGTTAACCTTGAACTGAAGAGCGCAGGGCAGTGCTCAAGCCCAAACATCACAACCCACAAAAAATAATATAATAATAACCCTCAGGTCTCAGCCTTCTGAGTAGCAGAATCATAGGCACCTAGTGCTCTTAGCTTTTTGTCAGCTAGCTTGTGCTAGTACCAGGACTTGAATTTAAGGCTTTGCATGCTCAGCTTGCTTACTGGCGTGCACGCGCGCGCGCACACCCCCCCCCCCCCCCCCTCCCCACACACAGGCTCCCTGGCAGGATTCTAGTTCTAGACTTTAATGATTGCTCCCTTAGCCAAAAAAAAAAAAAGTTTTTTTTTTAAATTAAAAAAAGGAAGAAGATTAAGGAAGGTCAGTAGGTATTTTAAAGCTTGGGTATGGCAGGTGTGTGTGTGTGTGTGTGTGAACTTGATCTTACTATTCTGCCCTGAAGCTTGAGAGTCAGGACATTTCAGGGTCTCAGGGTTGACCGCAAGCCACATTTTGAAGCCTCAGGGATGGAAGAGCGGTAGTGAATTTGTTTCTTCTCACCGGGGAGTTCTCTCCCCCCAGGCACTAGGGCTGGTTGGGCATGCAGTCTGGTGGAGCTCTCTATCTGGAAGTGCATAGGTAGTCTTGCAGCACCTGGAACTTTGGAGAACTTTCTACTGGGATCTGCATATCTGCCACAGCCCACGGACCAGTAAAGAGACAGTAAAGCATGGAAAAGCCCGCACCTCCCGAGCAATTGACAGTGCATGCAAAGCGTATTTTCAAATGTTTAGAGTCTCAGAGGAAATTGCCTCACCAGTTCTAACTGTTTAGATTGCTTTTTTTATGACTCAAACCCAGCACAGCCAAACGATGTCATTCCTGTGACAAATGCTCCGAGTCTCCCCAGAGGAAAGGCGGACATAATGGAGGAAGAGCACCCCCATAGTAAGCGAAACGCCAGCTAGGGAGGGGAGGGAGTTAGTCATGTAGCCATGGTTGAGTCTCTGCCAGAGAATGCTGGCTTCCTTCCGTGTGAGGAGCCAGGCTCTGCAGAGATGTGAGCTATGGAATAATAGCCAGACTCCAGGACAGCTCTGGGTCTGGGGTTAGGGTGTCAGATAATCCTGGCTGGTTGGAGCTTTGTGCTTCTTCTCATTTCGATCCCAGAGTGAAATCGACCCTCGGTTATCAAGAGAAACAGCATTCATTCCCATCACAGAGCGAGAGGGAGGGGGCCTGGTTGTGAGATCGTGTTTGAGGGAGTTGCACTAGGCTTGAACACTCCAGGCTGGGGCTCTACCACGTGAGCCACACCTCTACTTCCAGCTTTTTGCTGCTTTATTGGAGGTAAGAGTCTCACAGACTTTCCTGCGTGGGCTGGCTTCGACGCATGATCCTTACATCCCAGCCTCCTGAGTAGTTGGATTACAGGAAGTGCACCACTGACACCAGGCTTTGTTGTTTTAATTAATTTTTTAAACTCTCTTTACATAGTCGTATGAGGGAGGTTCACTTTATCTGTCATTCTGTGGGTACCGTCCGGCTCAACCCACCTGTCCCCACCCACTTCCATTTTCACATCGGCACACTGAATATCGTGAGTGTATTTGCCCACCCTTCCTCTCTCCATTCATCTGTCCATGTCTTTTTTTTTGGGTCGGTCCTGGGGCTTGAACTCAAGGCTTGGGCGCTGTCCCTGAGCCTCTTTGTGCTCAAGGTTAGCGTTCTACCCCTTGAGCCACAGCACCACTTCTGTATTTTCTGAGTAGTTTGTTGCAGAGAAGAGTCTCACAGACTTTCCTGCCCTGGCTAACTTCGAACCACCATCCTCAGATCTCAACTTCCTGAGTAGCTAGGATGCCAGGCGTGAGGCTCCCTCCAGGGCTGGGCTCTGTCCCCTTCCTCTTCAACCATCCTTTCTCAGACAGGACGGGCTTCAGCTTCCTGTCAGGTAGTGGTTTGAAGGGGTCAGTGCCTGAGGATCCACCCCTGTGAGCACCACGCTTGAGTCAGATGACATGGCTGCATCTCCTGGTAGCCGTGCTGCCTCGAGAGGGTCCCTGAATTTCTCTGGATGAGCTGCATTCTCCCTCCTGGGTCAGTTGGAAAAGAAACCCTCTGGGTCAGCTCTGGACCTGAAAACAAAGGAGTAGGTGTTGAAGCCCCTCAGAGCCAGGCAGGCCTCGGAGAACATGAGCTGGCCCCATGGGACAGAGAGGAGCCACTTTCCCTGGTACCCAAGGGGCCGGGCCCTGGGTGCATTAGCTCGAGCGTGCAGAGGAAACCCCGTCTTTACATCTCAGCAGCATCTTGCTATCGGTCAGGTGCCCATCCCAGAGACCACGCGCCAGGGAACCTGGGAGCTTACTACGTCCTAAGCCCCGCCCTGATGGCTCACGCCTGTCATCCTAGCTAGCCAAGGGAGGCTGAGATCTAAGCCTGGCAGTTCTGAGCCAGTGGGGGCAGGAAAACCCATGAAGTTCTTAAAGTCAATGAACTCCCCAAAAGCTAAAAGTGGCTCAAATGATAAAATGCCAGCCTGGGGCAAAAAGAATGGAGAGCACCTAGTCCCTGAGTTCACCAACACACACACACACACACACACACACACACACACACAGAGCCACCTAAACCCTCTCTCCTCCCTCCCAGGAGCATCCCCATAGGCCACGTGCTGAGGACCCCGGCCCTGACCAACGCCTGCGCCGACCACTCGGACCAGCGCGTGGTCTACCTGGAGCACGTGGTGGCCCGCATCTCCATCTTGCATCCGCGCCGGGGAGACCTCCAGATCCACCTGACCTCTCCCTCGGGGACCAGGTCGCAACTTCTGGCCAAGAGGTGAGGCTGCAGGGCCCCCCCCCCTCGGCGAGTCTAGCGTGGGGCGCCGGCCCCCCCGTGGGCCTGCAGACATTCTCCAGCCTCTTCCACTCCAGGTAGTGGCTTCGGCAGCCTTGCCTTTCAGATGGTTCTGGAAGCAACCAAGGAGGTGTTGCTCCTTCTGTTGTTTACTGAGAAGGAAGAGTCCTGCTGGTATTTGTTTTAATTGACCTTGGGAGTGCTTTGAAGGTCAGGTCTGTCCTGTTCCCTTGACACTGAAGCAGCAGCATGGCCCCTAGGCTGTCCCCTCCCCGTGGTGTGGCCTGACTCCTCACACAGTGCTCAGCGGGAGCTCTCCTCCAAGGGCTGTAGGCCAGACAGCGTCCCGAGGCCGGCCCTGGAGAGCGGAGCTCGGGCCTGCGCTTCCCTCCCATCACCCGGTCACCAAACCCCGCTCTCTGTTCCTCCTCTCTGGAAATGACAGTTCACTCCTCACCAGAATATTACAAGAAAGCAAAAGAGAATGAAAAGAATTGGATGGAGGCTGGGAAGGTGGCTCAGAGGTAGAGTGCTTGCCTAACATGCATGAAGCCCTGGGTTCGATTCCTTCATGCCACATACACACAAAAAGGCCAGAAGTGGCTCTGTGGCTCAAGTGGCAGAGCACAGAGAGACTTAGGGACCATGCCCAGGCCCTGAGTTCAAGCCCCAAACAACAACGACAGAAATGCTCGGCAGGGACGCTTGCTGTCCTTGCATCCTGTTAGTCGGTTCAGCCATCTGCCCCGCAGGGTCCCTCCCGCACCCCAGCCTGCTCCTGCCCAGCTCAGCTCCCTTTGCTTCCCACCTGCCGCCTCCTGCATCTCCAGCTCAGCAATGGAGCCCCTGGGGATGAACACGAGCCCTGTGGGTTTCCTTGGAGCTCCCCAATTTCTGTACCTGTGCCACCAAGCCCTCTGAAGCCCCGCCCTGAGGCCACTTGGCTGTCACCTGAGCCTTGGGAATTTGTTTTATTTCTTTCCCCCTTACTGGAGATGTGGTGTGTGTATCAAGATTTCCGTGCTGGGATCTATTACCTTCTAGTTATCCCCCATCTTTCTGGGATGGGCCAGGCCTCGGAGCGGGCCAGCGCCGTCCAGTTAGGGTAAGAGTACATTCCTCAACGCCCGGGTACCTCGAACACAGTTGGTCCTTGTTTGGTCCTGGGTGTGTTGGGTTCCACTTGGCTTTGTGTGTGAAAATCAGCCTTGGCCTTGGCGGTTCCTTAGCAGAAAGCATGGGCTCCTCCCTTCCCCCTTCCCTTCCACACAGAACGTTCCCTCTGTACACATCAAGTGTTCAGAGTGCTCCTCACAATCGGGACTGGAATCTCGTGTCACATGACACTTCCGTGCTGCGGTTTCTCCCATGCAATAGGGATCCCTGCTCCCTTTATTCCAAATAGAAAGCGAGGCGACAATTTATAGACGAAGAGGGCTCAGGCTGACTTTCAGGGATGGAGAACTTTCCCAGCATGCACAAGGCCTTCGGCCCACAAGAATGGAAAAGGAAGTCCATATAGAAAGCAAGGACAGCCATGGATTGTTACTTTCTGCTAAGGAAGACATCTGAGGGGAGGCCATCACCAGGGACCACTAGTTGATCCCTGGGGATCTTTAGTTGATCATCAGGGATCATTAGTCGATCACCAGGGATCACCAGTCACGTGTTTCTGCTTGAACTAGAGAGAAATAGAAGCAGAAGGCTTAGGAGCTGGTGGGCACAGCTGGGGAAGACTATCTAGTTGAGAAGAAGAAAAGGGGTGTCATTCAAACTCTCCCGATTAAGTGCAGGGTTCTTTCATTCACCTCCATCCGCCACTCCACCCCCTACCTGTCAATCATCATCACCTCCTCCAATCACAGCTGGTGAAACTGACCAGAGCCGTTCATCTTTCCACAGAGATAGTTCTGTCTCCTTGGCCGGTGTGGACGTGTCATGCATCCCACAATTGCACGTGGGTTCTGTGGGTGGCATGGCTTGGCTGGTGCTGAGGGAGGAGGGGACATGAATGAGGAGGTCCGGAGACCACAGGCCATCAGTATCTCGTTGGAAACCTTTCCCATGGCAATTCTCTGCCATCCCCTCTCTCCAGCCCTCCGCCCCGGGGTGCGCTTCGGCTGTGGGGTGTGCAAGCTCAGCAGGGACAAGGAATCTGCAGGCTCATGCCACTCCCAGCCACCCAGAAGCCAGGCCTCCTCCTTCTCCTAACGCCACGTCTCCTATTACAGATTGCTGGACTTTTCCAGTGAGGGCTTTACAAACTGGGAATTCATGACCGTCCACTGCTGGGGAGAGAAGGCGGAAGGCGAATGGACCTTGGAAATCCAAGACCTGCCCTCCCAGGTCCGCAACCCGGACAAACAAGGTCGGTGGTTCTCCGGCATCTCGGGATGGCGTGCATTGCTTCCGTCCATTTAAGCCAGGCCTCTGTTCCAGCACGGATGCCGCGGCGATCTTCGTTTGTGGGTGTAGGTTGTACCGTGGCATTGTGCCTTCCCGGCTTGGTACAGCCATCACCACCCGCTAATTGATCCTCCCAAAGGGAACCGCTACCCCAGATCCGCGGGCCCTCCTCCTGGCTGGGCACTTCCTGACCGCCCCAAGTCTGGTGCTCTCAGGCTGCATGAATTCATCTGTTCTGGGTAGTTTGTCTGAGTAGATCATGTGATTCCTAGGCTACCAGGCCCCTTGCCTCCGCTGCTTTTCCCCAGCGTGGCTTCAGGGTCTGTCCGCTGAGCACTGTGCATTACCATGCTATTTTCATGGGCAAATAGTATTCCATGGTACGTACAGGCCGCTGGCGTCAGCATGGGCAAGCCGCGTATCTCTACCGTGTTCTGTTGTCAATACTGCTGAAAGGAGCATTCAGGTACGTTGTGTGTGGTCAGTGTGTCAGTGGTTTTGCCTGCTTTAGGTGTCCACCGGGTCACGTGTGTTCACCTCGTGTGAGAGGTCCAGTTTCTCCACAGCCTTACCAACACTTGTTATTTACTATTTTGGGGGGAGGGGGCATGTTTATCTGGGTTTGAGCCCAGAGCCTCTTACTCTTTCTCGGCTTTCTTGTTAATACTGGGTGCTCCTCCACTCGAGCCATGCTTCCAGTCCTGCTTTTTGCTGGCTCATTGGAAATGGAGTCCTTGTCAGAGTTCTCTGCTCAGGCTGGCAGATTCTCAGGTTGGGGAGAGCTTGAGACGGTAGGGTCTCTGCAAAGACGGCTAGAGACGGCGACAGTGCTCAGAGAGCACTGAGTGCAGAAGGGATGAGGGAGGCCTGCGTGGTAGAGGCTGAGCTGAGAACTGAGTACCGACGGCTGGTCCCAGGAAGCCCTCTGTCTGGAAACTCCTCTAGAGTAGCAGGAACCCTCTGGAAGTCAGAGTCTGGGGGAGGAGGGTGGACACAGGGCCCTGCATGTACTGCTGGGGATATGTGAACATCATATGGGGGGGGGGGGGGGGGCGAGAGGACCTGTCACACAGCCAGCATATCATGTGACACGGAGTCAACCCAGTGCCAAGATGCCCTGGTCAACCTGTGACCATCTGGGAGTCTCAATCCAATAAAGAATTGAAGGAGCCCGGTGTCGCTGGTGCAACCTGTAATCCTAGCCACGCAGGAGGCTGAGATCTGAGGATCGAAGTTTGAAGCCAGTGGGGGCAGGAAAAGCCCGTGAGACTTATGTCCAATTAACTACCAAAAAGTCACAAGTCACAAGTGGAGCTGTGGCTCAAGTGGTAGAGCAGTAGCCCTGAGTTCAAGCCCCAGGATCAACACACACACACACACACACACACACACACACACACACACAAACACTGGTGCTTAGTTTTAATGGTATACTGTATAAAACCTGCTTGGGAATCTTGGGTAAGACCTGGGTTGATTAAGTAATTAAGTGATATGAATCATATACTCATGTGAATAGCTCTACCTCCTGCCAGATTGAACTCGGCTCATGTAATTAGTTTCTTTAAAAACGATTTGCTAGGCCCAAGAAGAGGTTACTCATCCCTCTTCCTCTTCTGCTCTTAGACCAAGCCGGGGGGAAGGGGGGCCTCCTCCTTCCAAGACCTCTGACTTCCAGGAGGCAATTCTGGAATGGAAGCGGGTGCGAATCCTACTTCACGGCCAGGCGGGCAGGTGCTGGCAGCTTCCCCTTCCTCCCTCTGTATCCACGACACCTTTCTTTCCCAGAGGATTCTTCCAACCAGATCGCAGGCCTCAAGAAGCAGGACGGGGGTGGGGGGTGGGGAGCAGACCAGGGCGATAGGGCGCGCCACTCCTAAATCATCCTTCCCAGAAGTCTGGCTGCATTTTCCAATTTCCACCCAAAGTGCTCAAAACGTTGAGCTCAGTCCCCGAGGACCGGAAGTTCAGCTCCCAGGGAATGACGATGGCTTCATGCATCTGCCCTGGGCCTCTGTTCCTATGAGGAGGGGGGTGGCGGTGACAGCCCAGGCATGTCCCTAAGGGGAGGGCGGGTCCCCCATCCAGGTCTTTCCACCGGGATGCATGCACCTGCCAGGGGTGCATCGCATGCACCTGCGTTCTCAGCCCAAGGGAGGGCCACACAGATCACGTGGCCTGGGCCCTGGGTATCGGAGGCTCAAAGACGGCAGCGGCCTTCCCTATTCTGTAGGAGCCAGGCTGGGCTCTGAGCAGCGCTGCCACCCCATCTCCCAGGGCCAGGGAGCGTGTTCCCCCCATGCCCACCAGCAACGTGTCCCTCATTGATTCCCGGCGGCTCTGAGGCTGGTGGTGTTTGCGTCTGGCTCCCGGCAGTTCAGGTGGGAGGGCTCCTCTTTCGAGTTGTCGTTAGAACATGGCCAGATGACCGTGGACAACGCACAGGTGCTTTGTCCTGAGCAGTCCAGGTGCCTGTCTGTCATGAGCGGCTGCGTCTCCCGGACAGCAGACAGCAGAGAGACTTTGAAGAAGTCCCGGTGACGGGCTGGGCTGGCACAGGGCTGGCCTTTCCCCCGGGACCATGCAGGCGGCACAGGAAGCCCTGGGGACAGAGGCAGAGGGAGGCTTGGGTGTTTTTGTCTTTGAGACCTCCATTCTGATGCGAGTCTCCTGCCACCGCACTGTGAACTAGACATCAGGAAGAGTGGGCCTAGATGATGACCTGTCTGAAGACCCTGTGGAGAGAGTAGCTGGAGACACTGAAAAACAAATCAGATGCAGATGTTTTAAACATATTTTAAAGCGATAACCATTAAAACAGTATGGCACTGGTACTAGAACAGATACACTGGGGATCATCCATTAAAAAAAATCCACCTAGCCACCATGTACCATCATCCCTCAGCCTAGAAGGACCATCCAAGGGAATCAGCATCCTTCAGTGCTCATATCTTTTAATATGAAATGGCATAATATCAACATACAACCTTAATACGTCTCCAGGATGCTTTAAACTGTTTCTCTAGATAATTTGTAGTATCTAATAGGATGGATAAGCTATACACGTAGTTGCTACCCTGTGCTGTTTGGGGGCTGATCTGGACCTGGTGTTCACACTTAGTCTCTCTGTGCTGGTGGAGTCTGGTTTAGCAGCCACAGGTTCTGAGGGGTGACTGACTGTACAGAGTCTCACTGTGGTGGAGACAGAAAGAAATGTTGAGTAAAAAAGCTACCAGCCAATCAGCCAGCCATTTGGAAAGGAAGTCATTATTATGACAGATGAGTTACACATAAAATCAGAAACTTCTGTTTGGCAAAAACGAAAAGGGGAAAAAAAGCAAGATGTTAAAATTAGCAAACTATTTGTAAAACATTTTGGACAAGTTTGAGTAATTCACACATGGCTTTTTAATGACTCTATCTTGGGCGCTGGCAAACTTTGTGTGTGCCGGGCCAGAAAGTAAGTATATTTGACTTTCTGGTCTCTTCCACGGTTAGTATTCCCTGCCAGCTTCGCAGTGTGAGAGGAAACACGTAGCCGAATAACTAAGCAGGAGAGCACAGGGAGTCTGTGGCCGGTTTGTGTCCCCTGGCTCTATCCCCTGTAAAAGTTGCCCTGGAACTTAGTAGTTCTTCAAACTTAAGCCACCTCTTTGCTTGAGTGTTCTTTGAAGCATTCCATAATACCCCTGTTTTTCTACTCTCAATCTGGGGAAAATGATGACTCTCTGTATCTGAATTCAGGTAGAAATAGATAGTAATATTGTCACATGAGTTTATTATAGGTTTGACTGAAAGAAAGTTTGTACAACTTTCAAATAGATACATACCAGGGACTGTAAATTTCACCTCACCATTGATCCTCAGGGGATGATTCCATTGCCTTCTGCCAAACCCTTTGACTGTAGCCAGCTGTAGTAGCAATTCATGAACAACTGTCTTTCCAACATAAATGTTGGTTTAAGTATGTGGGTGTGTATATGTGTGAGTGTGTGTGTGAGTACTGAGTCTTGAACTCAGAGGTTTTTCCACTCAAAACTGATCTGTAAGCCAGGCGCCGGTGGCTCACACCTGTAATCTAGCTACTCAGGAGGCTGAGATTTGAGGATACAGTTTGAAGCCAGCCAGGGCAGGAAAGCCTATGAGACTCTTTATCTCTAATAAACCTCCAAAAAGCTGGAAGTGGAGCTGTGGCTCAAGTGGTAGAGTGCCAGCCTTGAACAGAAAAAAAAAAAAAAAGCTCAGGGACAGCATTCAACCCCACACAAAAGAAGGGGGAGGGAGGAAGTGAAATGAGGTATCCACAAACAGAGCTTGGTGGCATTAATATAGAAAGAGTATTTATAAATCACTAAGAAATAGACAGAGCACCTCACTACAAGAATAGACAAAGAGTCCTGAAAAGCAATAAAGGAAAACAATCAACTTTTTTAAGACTCAAAAAGACGTGGATATCATGGTAGCAAGCCCGCCAACAGAAGTAGCAGGGATTCCAAAACAAACGTCAGGATGCATGTGGCATTTGTGCCCTGAAAGCTTTTACCATAGACTTGGGGACTGGCCCGTTTGGTTCCCTGGGGAATCCCAGCCTAGGGGAAACTGGTAGAGACCAGCAAGGAGCTTCAGAAAAGCCAGGACATGGGAGACAGCGGAGCCCAGGGCAAACTGCTGAGAGCCAGCCAGGCTGAGCCCTCCACCGAACTGGCTCCTTGGAAACAAATCTCAAAACTCACCAAGTAGCTGGGTGTGGATGGCTCACCAATGTCATCCTAGCTACCCAGGAGGTGAAGATCTGAGGATCATGGTTCAAAGCCAGCCTTGGCTGAAAAGCCCATGAGACTCTTATCTCCAATTGACCAGCAAAATAAAAAGCCCCAAGTGGAGCTGTGACTCAAGTAACAGAACATCAGCCTTCGTCCAAAAGATAAGAAACAGCTCCCAGGCCCTGAGTTCAAGACCACA